TTTAGCCAAACCAACAAGTTTATCACTTCCATTGACGCCCGAGTCACCAAAGTAAGTACTAAAAAGCGCAAACATTTATAAAAGGGAGGGGGGTTCAATAGATTTTGGCTACAGCAACTCCATTTCAGCTTGTTTTTATAAATGTGCCCTGTCTTCCAGTGATCCCAAGGGTTCCCCATTTGAGAACAAGACAATTGAACAAACCTTAAGTGTGGAACTCTCTGGAACTGCAGGTGAGCAATGGGGAGTGCTGGCTCTTCCTTCGCGCATGGTTCATGGGTGTGTTTGTTAATTTTAATATACCACACATACACCCAGATCTCACAGAGGTCTCAAGTAGATTAACTTCAATGCAGTTTAGCATTGACTTTTTATACAGTTACCTGAGAAGGAATGTGTTTGAAAATATGGCTCCAAAGCTATACAAGAGAGCGTAATTTCTGGGAAAATATGAATGAAACCATTTATCTGTTATACTTCCCCATTTCCCCATAGATTTGTGTACTGCTGAGCTCCATCTTTCAAAGACAAATCCCACAGCACGGTGTAATAGATGTTACAGATGGAAAAGTTATGTCATCCAGTCTGTCTCCAGGCTGGTCTAGGGCTGTACGTGACTGCATGTTTCAGTGCTTTGTCAATTCTAGATTAATATGTCACAAATAACAGCTTTCTCCTCTCCCACTGAAAAACTGTTCCATAGGTTAGAGGTAATTTTTAAAATTGGTATTCATTTTGTATTCTTGCTTTCTCTGTATTTCTTCCGCTAGCACTCTTCATATAACCTCTGTTTATCCTCTTCCTCCATTAAGATCCCTGTTTGTAGCTTTTGAAGATTTGTAGATTTTTTTATCATTAGCTGGTTTAGTTCATGCATCACCATTGCACTCATTTAATTCATCTGCTCTTCTCTGTGCTAAAGTCAATTCCTTCAAACTCAGATCCGTTTTATTGCTTTCCTCTGAACTCTCCTTTGCCTTCGTTTTTCTGAGGTGTCCAGAACTGGTCACAGGAGCACATGTTTTGTTCCACCTGAGCTATTGCCAAGACTGTTTTCTTTCTCAGTTGAGTAGTATTGAAAAATAAGAGATGTACTTGGCACATGTTTCTCCCAGAGTAACAGTGGCTTGTAAATGATGTGATTTCTAGTGTTTTGGGGGGTATTGCAAAATATGTCTTCAGGTACCTTTGAACAGCTTGGTCCACTTAAATTCCATGGTAGCTTTACACAAAAGCAGGCCCAAGCACTAGATTTGTTCACATAGTTTGGGCTTTCACCTCTCTACAACCATCATTTCACTTTTTCAGAAACTTCTTCATTAGCCCAGCATTAAAACATGAACACTTTCCTCTGCCATATCCTGAAAACCTGCAGTTTTAATCACTCCTCTCATGACAAAAGGAAGCATCCTTCCAATGCACCTTCTTTTTGCAAAACCAACACAAAACACACAAAATTCACTTGTATGCAGCAAGATAATCCCGTTCAGTGCCAGTAGGCCTGAAGCATGGAGAAGCCTCTTTTATTATTACAGGAGAGCCAGTCTGCATGAAGGTGCCCATTTGTAAGCACACTGGTAAGTCAGTGCTTAGTTCTGCCAACTGCAAGGGGCAGATGAGGTGACCACAGCAGAGTGGTACAAGAAGCTGTTGAAATCACTGAAGGGAGCAGTGTTTTCTCCCAGCCAGAAAGTCAGCAGCCTCCTCTTCCCATCAGCTGACGAGGCAGAACCTGGGAGCTGGTCTGACCCCTGCATAGTCCTCGAATATTGCCTCCATAATGTCAACGGGAATGGTCTTGGTACCACCAACTCCATCAGTGGTGCATAGAGGAGGAAACAAAACAGCTCTGTAGTTGTCATAGACAACATAACCAGGTGAAGTAGTGCATTAAGAAGTGCATCAGAAGCTGTGAAACAGCACAACTGGATTAATACGTGAACAGGAATGTTGTACTATGAAAACGCGATTATTTTTTTTTCCCTCTGAAGGTAAATAGAGTCTAGCTAGAAAACAAACTGATGATAATCAGGGAGAATAAGAGTTGGTGGAGCATGTGTGGCCAGGGAGTTAGGGCAGTATCGCAGCATACATGGTGGTGGCTCTTGGACTTCATGTTGCACTTGCTCTGGTCCTCACAATTCTTGGTGAGGAGGTTTCAGGAGATTGTATTTCATCACTTGGTAGCTGTATTAATCTCTGCCATCATATAAACATAGACTTCATTTTTATCTTCATATATGTGTATAAATCTATAGAAAGATGAGTGATTGTGCATGTCTTACTTTTTAACTCATTTGTATTGCAGTAGTGTCATGTGTCATGAGTCTGCTTGTGTTGGGAGCAGACAAGTACATAACAGAAACAAGTTCGAGTACTGAAGAACTTACAGTGTATGTGAGTAAATCATGGCAGAATTGGGACCCACTTCCTAAAAAAAAAATTTTAAAAAGGGAAAAAAAATGGCACTAGTGATTAATAATACCTTGGAGTTCTTTAGTGAGACCCTGGCAACTCCAAATTATATCTAGATAACCGCATTGCTCATTGTCCTTATATAGGGCAGCTTGCACTGTATGAGCACTATTTATTATAATTTAAATAGGAGTTGCCTTGATCTCACTGCCGAATTGAAAAGACCATTAGCAGTGCTGCTCGCACTATCGAAGCACAAAGTATTTTAATATAAATAGCAACTCCCTTGATCTCTCTGCTGAAAACAACATTGGTTCCCTCACTGATGAATTAACTATAGAGCAGAAAAATAAATAAATAAAAGCATTTCCCACATGAGCCATCAATCTTCGTCACACACACATTTTGAATTCGTGTATCTAAAATCAAACTGAAACCGTTCTCTTGCCGATGCTTTATCTTTCTTTACAATGGATTTGTTAGTAGTCGTGAATGTACTTTTGTCTTCCCTAAAACTGTCAAAACACTGATTTGTCAAATTGCAAGAAACAAATATTTTTTTTAAAGTGTTTTCAAGCCACACATAAGTCTTCTTTGAATGCACTTTAAATAAGTGCCCTATGATAGAGGAATATCTTCATTGCTGTCTAAAAATCCCAACTCCTGCAGCTGATTTCTAGTGCTATTCTAAGGAAAATGGATCAGAACATCATGATGTGGAGGGAGTCCTAGGTGATGATAATGTAGTGGATGAAATTTCTGTGTAAGGCAAGTCTCATTCTGAGTAAGAGGCTCACAAGAGGTTGTTATCCCTTGGTTTCCACAGCTAGCTGCATTGCCAATATGTTACTAAGAGACTGTGGGCTTGAACCTTCCTAATGTCTTCCAGGAACATGGGATGTTTCTGTGTCACTGGAAGACCTCTTTCCTCTTTATTACCAGTCAGGGTGAGGGGGCACATGCAGGCACAGGAACCAGGAGGACTCGCCCTCTGCGGGTGGCTGTGTTTCTCTTTGTGATCGAGGGCTCCTCAGTGACTGTCTTAGACTTTCTGTGGAAGTTCTAAATGCCAGAAGTTGGGTGGTGTGGGTCCTAAATGTTTGAAATTGAGCTCTATCTGTTCTCACAGTGTCTTGTTAAACCTTCAGTCCTGAGTTATCAAAACCATCATGTAAGCACATGAGGTGAGTTTACACACTTAAGGCTCAATCAGTAACTGGAAGGCTGTTTCCACCCTCTTGTCTACAATATATGGCTTGGTGAAAAGTCTCTCATTTGCACACGGATCTCTGTAATTTACCTGAGCATAAAATTCCTCAGCGGTGTTTCTTGGGTTCAAAATCTGACTTCTCCAAAAAGGTGACAGAAAAGGCTGTATGAACACTATCAGCTTGAAAATTTGGAAAATTGAAAGATTTGGAATTCCTGAGCATCCTGGAGGATACTTGCACCCTGCTATTTACCCACTTCTAGATCTGTGTGGCTTCCTAGTTGTCAGAAAAAATACTTAAACTCTATCATAGAAGAACTTCTTTGACCTCAGAATGATTTCTGATAAAATGAGATGTGAGATGCAGAGAGTTGTCCAGAGGGAATAAAATCTAGTAAATTATTTGATATTTTGAGGCTGTGAGGCTGCTGTGTTTATTCTTTGTAGCACTGACAACAGGATTAAACTGAATACCCAACAAGCATGTATTTTTTTATTATATGATGGCTATTTAAATTTACTATCTTTTCCTGGTTTCTGCAATCTTGTGCCACACAAAAGCTCTTCTGATTCTTTTACTGAATTGAGCTGTTATCTTGTGTTCAGTGTTTTAAGTGGCCTTAAATAATGTTTTCCTTGACAATCCATTTTCAAACTTAAAAGGTACAAAAGAATTCATTTTCACTGCCTCTCAAAAGCACAGAGCACATGTAGAAACGTTCCAGGGCTTTGTTCCCCAAAAAACCCTAATTCTCAGCCTCCTCAAAGCACAACAAATGTCATCAAGCATTTAAATGCTAACAGTTGCAGTAGAATATTAGAAAGATCAGTGTCTATGTAAAAGAGCATTGCAAATCAGTCCTAAAAAGTCAAGATGTCACATTTTATGCAAAGGCACTCTCATGGTTTCTGCGTATTAACCTCGCTGAGCTAAATGAGTTACTAAGGGTTTTTTTGTGGAGTTTTGGAATGTATCAAAAGTAGTTTCACTCTCCCAGAGAGTTTCTTGAAAGAAGTCACTCGTCCAAGGTGGCAGAGTCTGCACACATGCAAACACCGTTTGTTGCACAGACACAGGCAGGACGGTGCTGCTTCGGCAGCAGTGCTGGCAATTCGATGTACGCTGTCTTCAAGCACAAGATCACGGAGTCAGTTCGTAGTATATAGACAGAGCAAGGCAAAGTGCAAGCGTACCATTTACCAAAGCCATTCAATTAAAGAAAAGTCCCTGCAAAGAAAATGGTTTGATAGCATGTCATGAAAAAATACTTGCCTTTTACTTTAAAAAGAAAAAAGGCTGTTTAAGGGGGATGATTGTAGACTATGTACCACTTCTAACAGATTTGCTGTGCAGAAGTACGTAAGTGTGAGTGATGTAGAGGTACTTGTTTATTATAGAGCACATTTCAATGCAGTAATCATAAATATTGCTAAGGTTGTGCTCTGTTGAAATATGACCTACATACTCTTGATTGTTTGTGTTACGTGATTTGTCTGACACCCATTACATTCTGGGTAATGGCAGCCATTTGTTGCTGTGCACAGCAGGCTCTTTTGACAAAAGAAAATAGGCAGCAATAAAAAAGCTATAGTCTGAATTACATTCTGCACAGCGCTGCACTGCTGAGAGTTTGTGCAAGTGTGTTAACAATGCTCTGAACTGCCTGTTGTCAGCCTTCAGCCCATAATGGCCATCTGTCCTTCCATAAATCTGTCAAAACCTGCTAAGTTCAAGAGAGAGCACAGAATATACCTTGTACTGTCAACGCTAAAACGTACACATTGGCGGAGAAATTGGCCCCTATGAAATAATCCAACCATCACAGAATACTGTGACGCCATTGATGTGGGATCGTGGCCCTCAGCGGAGATTACCAGGGATTAGTGTGACGATGAGTAAGTGTGCAGCCAAAGTGGTTTTCTCAAGGTTCACAGTTTGGACGCTGGTCATGGAACACACTGAAAGTGGGGACTCGGTAGCGGTGACACAAATTCAGAACTTCACTTCCCCCTCCATTCACCCATGGAGGTTTGTTTAAAAGTTAAATTAACATTTTCCAACTTTTATCTGTTTCTACTTGCCTGTGCACTTCCTGCTTCTGCTGAAAACGAGGAAAAAAGCCAAAATGCCACGAGGAAGCCCTTTCTTAGGACGTCCCCCGCACAGCTCTGCCAGTAAAACAAGTGCTGGTAAATTCAGCTCAGTCTGTACTTTTGTGAGGGCTTTTTTGGTGTTTCCCCCCACACTCCCCCTAAAGATTGTTGGACTCCTTATTGTGCTCCTGGAAATCACTGTGCTCTCTGTTTAGCTTACTTCATGCTGGGATAGCTTTTAAAAAGTGGCAATGGAAACAATATTTTCTTTTGAATATTGGATTATCTCTGGGGTTTCTTTGGTGAAATTCTTAAATGTGCATGTTGATTGTGGAGCGGTTGTTGGAAGTAACAAGGCGGGGCTGGAATTAATAATCTCCTGCTTCACTACTTCTTAAAAACTACGTCCAAAAATCGAGCAACTAACGCCAGACCTTCTCAGAGGCTGACGCATCTGAATTTTTTATCTAGAAGATGGTCACTGCTTACTCAAATCTTTGTTGAATCTGAGCCTGAATTTTTAACCACGTTCTCTTCGTTTTATCGAAAATTCATTTGGTAGTCAAAAGTTCATTTGTTAGTGAGCAAGTGGATAAGAAGTGAAATATGTACTGCTCACTCAAGTGAATTTTTAAAAAGGAAGAAAAAATGGAGGACTCAAATAAGATGAAATAGTTTAAGAGTGATGACTTCGCGCAAAACTTTTTCATTTTTTAAATAAAATCTACCGTAACTGAAGTTTTAGACATCAGCATCTTTGCCTCAGTTTCCCTGACTTCAGTGGCATTAGACAAAGTCTTCACATAGCCATGGGTAGCTCATAACCATTTTTTCAAACGTTCAGACAAAGTCAAGCTTCACTCTCACATCAAGTATTCATGCCTTCGTGTTCCTATCTGCTGCTTTTTTTTTTCTGAAACAAATTCATTGCAGCTAATGTGATGGGACTCCCAGTCTCCATTTATGCTCCTTAGGGAGTACTGTGCATTGATGGATGCTTTTCCTTCTTTACAGCAAAACGCTATAAAACATGTTCCAGTTGCATTGATCTGCTGAGCTCTGTTACATGGTTAAAAATACGAAACAAAACTCTATAGCCATGTTTGAAATACACGTTTCCTGTAAGTGTGCCTGCGCTGTCTTTTCATTCTTGTGCAGTAAATGGAAAGAAGAAATCTTGGACAGCATCACCTCCAGAGTGCTTCAGGATGGTTGGATTATCTAGGAGAAATCACAGATCTTGGTCTAATTCAGTACAATACCTATGTATTTGTTTAATTTTAAGCATATATACTTCTAATTTACATTAGGGTCAATCAGACAGAAGTAAAGTTTTAAAACATTACATACTAACTACCTTCCCGAAGAGCTGTTTTTTCCTGAACAGTGGCCACAGTTTACTGTTATTCTGCATTGGTGTCCTGTGTTATCCTTTTATAAAGTCTGAAGAAATTCTATGATTTCTACAGCAAATGTTGACAGTTATATTCTGCCATTCTAAAAAGAATTGGAAGATGCTGCTTTGGTTCTCAGGTTTTACTAGAATAGTCTGTAGCCCTTCCTGCAATTATGTCTCACCATAGTGATGATATAATCTATTAATGTTATGTGAAAAATCCAGGTAATTAGTGGTATCTTTAGTCTTTGAATACTTACCTGTTTCATTTCAACTCCCTACTTTACAACTCTCACTAATATTTAGTTTTAAATGCAATGGATCATTACAGTTACACTTGGCTTTCAGTTGCAGAACCCACATTTCAGGCAAAATGTGTTAGTTATGCTTACAAGAATGTGTTATACAAACGTTGGCAATGGTTTACTAAGTTAATGAACTGTGGAGACAAAAAGTCATTTCAGTCAAGTTGCAGAGTTGCTGTACTTCCTTGCATTCAGGTTCTGCATCCTTCCAAGGTTCCTTTGGTAGCACTCATTTATTTTTCTCAGGCTTGCTTTTATTCAGGTTTTTGTCTGGTAATTTCTTTAGGTTTTTGACAGTGCCAGTCTTTTGACTTTTGATTTTTATATCAAAATCTTTTTCATTTTTAACAAAAAAGTATTTTGATTTTTATCTCTTGATCTTTTTTATTAAGATCTGCAGAGAGAGAGGTAGATGTCGTGGAGGAAGGGGAGGGGCAGAAGTGATGCTGAAGATTAATGGCAATGCATTAGTACTGTTGCTATTGTTGTTATCAGACCTTTAGTGTCTCATACCCTAAATACTCTTATTCACAGTATTATTAGTATTAAAGTGACATAGAATGGGTCTTGCTTTGTATCTGCTTTAAAGAAGCACATGAGCTGCCTTTGTAAATGTTGTATATGTGCTTAAAAATATTCTGTTCCTCTTTTTTTTCCTCTTAGGCCTAACTCCACCTACAACCCCTCCTCATAAATCCAACCAGGATAATCCTTTTAGGACTTCACCTAAGCCGAAGTCATCATGCAAGACTGTTGTACCACCTTCCAAAAAGCCCCGCTATAGTGAGTCTTCTGGTTCTCAAGGAAATAACCCAATCAAGAAGGGTCCAGAACAGTCTGAGCTGTACGCACAGCTTAGCAAGACTACAGTACTGTCCAGTGGACATGAGGAGAGAAAGACAAAACGGCCCAGTTTGCGGCTGTTTGGTGACCATGACTACTGTCAATCTGTGAATTCAAAATCAGAAATACACATTAAAATATCCCAGGAACTTCAGGACTCCAAACAACTAGAATTTAAGGATTCTTCACCTGGGTGGCAGTGTCAGATTTGTTCTTCTTTAGAACAAGACTTCAAGAAAGAGACTTTACAGACAAGTGAGCAGGGATCCCACGGTAATAACAGAAAACAGCTCCAAGACCAGGAAATTCGGGCTGAACTGAATAAGCATTTTGGTCACCCCAGCCAAGCTGTTTTTGATGAAGAAGCCAATAAGACCAGAGAACTAAGGGACAGTGATTACAGTAATGAACAATTCTCCAAACTACCTATGTTTATAAATTCAGGACTAGCAATGGATGGTCTCTTTGATGACAGTGAAGATGAAAGTGATAAACTATGCTACCCTTGGGATGGGACACAAGCCTATTCATTGTTTGATGTATCACCTTCTTGCTCTTCTTTTAACTCTCCATGCAGAGATTCAGTGTCTCCACCCAAATCCTTATTTTCTCAAAGATCCCAAAGGACACGCTCTAGATCAAGGTCCTTTCCTCAACGCAGGTCTTGTTCCCGTTCTCCATATTCCCGATCGAGATCAAGGTCACCCTGTAGTAGATCCTCTTCAAGGTACAGTACAACAAATTCATATCTTGTCATTGTAGTTAATAAGAAAAAAACAGCAAAAACATAAAGCAAATTAAAGGAAAGAAAGAAGCAAACAAATAAAGAAAAAGAGAAAGAAAGAAGGAAACAAGAAGTTAATCCACTGCAACTCGTTCTCTTGCTCCTGAGCTGATTAACCCTGGAGGTCACAGGGTTGCTGCAGAAACACTTGTTGCCATTATCCTTTAAATTTGCCAAGTTTACACTTTCTGAGTGGAGCCAGTCGGGTCAGCAGCAGAGCGGCTGGGGAGAGATATCCACAACTAACCTTTCCCATTATCTGCAGGCTGCCCAGTGCCAATCTAGCTGCAGTCCCTATCAGATGGAGTTGACAGTGGCTGACTCTCTGAGCTGTGTTAGCCTCAATAAGAAACATTACAAAAGGGTGCGGGGGTAAATCACTTGAGGCCCCTTAGTTAACTGGAAGATCACAAACTGCCACTGGAAAGTCTCACTGGTAGCTTAGCAGAAATTGTAAGTTCAGGGAAGAGGTAGAAAATTGTGTCAATAGATTCAAACTGAGTGACAGAGGTGAATGTGTTTCTTCCTGCAGATCTTGTTGCTATTATGAGTCCAGCCACTGTAGACATCAAGCATACAGAAGTTCTCCCTTACATGCAAGATCGCGATCCAGATCACCGTACAGTCGCAGACCCAGGTAGTGCATTTTGCCCGCATTTGGTTTGCTTTGCAGATGGTTCTCAAGAGATAATGAAGCATTGCAGAAACTGTGTTACTGATTTTACATTCACAAATGCAGGTGCTTGATTTAATGACTAAGTTATGTTTCCTAGATATGACAGCTATGAGGAATATCAGCATGAAAGGCTGAAGAGGGAAGAATACCGCAAAGAGTATGAAAAACGGGAATCTGAAAGGGCCAAACAAAGGGAGAGGCAGAGGCAGAAAGCAATTGTAAGCACTGTGAAAATAACTTTCATTTTGAAATAGATTTCTGTTTCTTTTCATAGATTTCTAAAGCTAGAACTCAGACTTTATTTCTTTTTTATAAAAGCAAAAACAAAATACAAAAGTCTGCTTACATGTATTTCTTAATATTTTCAATTTTAGCAAATATGTGTTTTCATAAAATTTTGTGTTTTAATGTTACTTATTTTTTCAGGTGGTATAAATTGGAACTCTCCAAGTTTTTCACAGTTAACAGATACAAAAGGCTCACTAGAAAAAGGTCTCATCCCACACAACAGACAAAGAAAAGTTATGAACCAGTCCATTTCTTAAACAGATCTATCAGTGAATCTGCACTTATATACTATGTATCACCTACCAAACTGCCAGTAATCAGTGTCTAATTTCTGTATTTCTGCGGTATTTTACGTAAGCAGTATAGGAAGTCAGGTTACATACTGATAGCTGGACTTTCATAGTAGCTGAATTGACTATACAAAGGGTGCAGATATCAGAATTCAATACTAGGATCCAAAGGCATAATTTTTTTTCCTGTCTATAGCTCAGTTAATTTTTAAGTTATTTTTAGCAAAATAAATAGTGTGAAGACATGCTGCAATTTAAAAATGTCACTTAACACTGGCCCTTTCATAATGAATATGTATTATTTAATTATTTTGTTCATCAATGTTCTGTGTGAAACAACTGAAATACCAGAGGCAAAGGAAATACCCAGGTGGAGATGAGCAACTCTCTTGACTGTTGCAGCAGTAGGACAGAAGAATGGCTGTTAAATGGACAGGTGGCTTTTGTCCCTTTTTAGTTTCCCATTGGCAACTGTGTAATGGTTTTGATAATTTAAATTGGAAGCTGCTGTAATTCTGAACTCTTGTAGTTGCTAAGCCCATTCAATGGCTCACCTTAATGTTTTCTGCTAGGTTTTCTATGTCCTGCTCTTTCTGTTCAGTTGTGCCTTCACTGCTGTTCTGGCTGTGCTCTGGCTCTTGCATGACCTGATGCAGTCTGGAACACTTTGTTTCCAAATTTTCCCTGTCCAGAACTCACCACAATGAATAGGTCTTTTTTTCCAGTGTCTTTAGTGGACTTTGCAGTAAAAGGTGATTTGTCACGCACTCGACAGCATTTCTCTAAATACTTACACCTACAGAACTGAGAGTGTGTAGAGATTGGCAAAGACTGGTGTAGTCTACAGCAACAAGACGTTGTTCTATATTTTCTGATTTTTGTCTGTGCTACTGTTGCTTTTAGTGAGCTTCATCAAATCATTTCCCTTTTCTCTGCTTCAGGTGCCGTATCTGTGAAGTGTGGGTGATAGGTGTATTTTGTAAAGGTTGAGATTTAGAGCTGTAACATGCTCTGCTGTGCTGATTGGAAACTCAGTGAAGGCAATGGAATGATTTTGCTTGACTTCAGACAGGGCTATATTTAAGTCAATTGTTGCAGTTAGTTTTAAAATATCTTGCTTCCATCTGTTTAAAGACAAACACTACCTTCCAGCAATCGTAACTTAGACTGGCTGTTCTCTCTTGGATCTAACACAAATTAGAGATTCAAGTAGACCTCTGTCATGGGTGTATGTTGCTACTTCTCAATTACTGTACCTTACTGGCATAAGTAAACATGAATCCTGCTGAGGAGGTAGTAAATTTGATTTAGTTTAAAACAAACAAATATTAGACAGTTAACTAATCAAGAGAAAAGGAAAAGGGAAAGAAAATAAACTTTAAAAACTCCAGATATGCTGCATCGTAACGTCCTATGTTAAAAATTTTAGACGTTTAAAAATAAAGGTTGAAATTTTAATTCTAAAGTGAACATTGTCATGGAAATTATGCCATTAATGATATTACTTATTAATAAATGTAAATAAATCAGAACTAAAAAGGAAATATCAATAAACAGAACATGGTAAAAATTTAAAATCCAGTCACGTGTAAGAGCTGCAGGAGATGTAGATGAAATCCTATTAAGTCCTTTACCCAAAGTCTATCAGCATTTTTACTTTAAAAGTCTCTATTAAATAATGACAGTTTGTTCCCTGTGCAAATAAGTAGGGGTTCGGGGGCAGCACAGAAAGGGAAGCCCTGCTCTCATGAAGTTAGTGATAAAATTTGTGTTATTTCTACAATTCTCTGCTCCTTTTCTTACTCTTTTGGCTTATGGATCTCTTCTGTGTTACTCTTTACTCTTTAGGGACTCAACTCGTTCAGTGTTCAGCCACAAGAATCTTTTCTCTCTTTCCTTGAACTTGTTCTACAGACCTGTAAATTTAGATTTCTTTGCTCTCTGAATTAGGGAATTTTTATTTTCTTTCTAGCTCATTCTCATGCTGCCAGAACTGATACATGGCCACATACCTCTAGGTACTGTTAAAAGAGTGTCTCAATGATTGGGCAGTGCCAATGTCCCAGGTGTTGCACAGGGCAGGTGGCTTTTTGGCTTTTCTTCATGAGGAGCACTGTGCTATGATCTCAGGGGTTTGCTGTAGAAATGATGCACGGTGGTAAGGGAACAGAAGTTATGATTGAGCTAAAAGCCATCAAGTATTACTGGTTCAGTATCTAGAATTAGTCTCCACGTGACAACAAAAGTGGGAAACCTAGGAAAAAGAAATGAGAAAAAAATTCACATATTTTAATCTGTCAAAACCATATGTGCAGCAATGCCCTCTGATTGTGTAGGCAGCTTGTATTTTGGCAGACGTGAAGACATATTGACAGAATGCTGAGGAAGCTCATTTTATAAGCCTATGCTCATGCTATGTGGCAGAGGCATGTTTAAATGGCTGCCCCTCCAATCTTGCATTGAGCACCTTCACTGCAGTAGCTCCAGGTCAGCTCGAAGCCTGGGCTAACATTTCCCTGTATGGATTCCTGAATTTCTGTCTAGACTTAGAGCTATGAATAGGTGGCTTGACTTCAAAGATACTGTGGTATCTTCTCCTCTTCTTTTTCTTCTTTTCCTCTCTCCAGTTACTGGAAATTCAGTGCTTTTCTTTGTAAATTGGGGGTCTTAATTTTGAGCAGTCACGCTTGAAAAATATGGACTGAGTCCACAAGATATTTTTCCAGTTGGGGAGTATTAAATATTTTTGTCATTCATTTATACTTTTGTCTGTGATGCCTTTGCTAATAGAGCAAATGTTAGCATAGTTCTGTTTGATCTTGACTTGATTTATTTCACTGGGTCCTCATTTTGGTTTAGAATGGGTCCTCATTGAATAGAAGGATGGTTTGCCACCAAGACTTACTTAACTTCATAATGCTAACCAGGTCATAGTGGAGGCTTGTTCACCATGAAACTTGAAGAGAACTGCAGGACAGGACAGTCTACTTAGGGCTTTGTGAAAACTGGGACCAACCCCCAGTGAAGGCAGTGATTTGCAAAGAAGATTGAGGTCCCCTTTTTTCTTCTGATACATCCCAGGAAATTTCTGAGTTATACAGGCTTTTACTTCAGCAGCTCATTAAACAGTGCAGGAAATACTTTCCAAAGCATGGCATCGTGTGTACACTTAGCACGTTTCAGTTCTGGAGTCACCAGTTTGTGGTTCCCCATTGACATAGTGACAAGGGATGACAGGTTAAACTGTCTGGTGAGCAGCCTGGTCTTCTGGGTCTCTGCTATTCTGCTACTCTGGCCACGATACTGACTTAATGGCAACATCCTCCCTGCAGCTCCTTTGCTGCGTGCACCAGCTGGTGCCAGGAGGTATAACAAAAACAGCTTTTATATCTGAGTAGAAAATTACTATTAACATTACTACTTTTCATTTCTAAGTGCTGACAGCCTCCGTGAAATGAGTATCAAGAGTCCCTGTCCCAGAGAGCTTACAGACGTAAGGAGATAAATGTGCTGTGAGGCCACTGAAGCAGAAAGGAACACATGATTTCAAAAAAATAAATTGCTTTGCAACAGGAAGGCAGGAGAAAGGTGGTTTCATAAATGAATGCTTGGTTTCTCTAAGGTCTAAAACCAGAGTTGGCCTATAATGGAGTGCATTCCCACTAATGAAGGATCCAATGTGCATTTGTATATTGAGTTTGGATTTTTTTGTCGTTGCCCGTCTTGATGGCCTTGATCCCAAACACTGTACCATTGCTGAAGGGTTGCTGAAAACATATCAAACAGATTGCTGAAACCTGGAGTTTTACTGATCCATCGTTGTTTTTCTAGCAGTCACCATGGAGTGTGGCTGCACTGTTTCAGTCCTTGCAGTGTTCTTTCTTTTTAATCCAGATTTCATGAGTCTTCCTTTTTTCTTTCATACTTGTCCACAGGCCATACTTATTCCACAATTCTTCTTTAATGCAAAATCTAAAACAGTTTTTTCTTACTGTGTCGGAATCTTAAGCTTTGTTGGCTTTTTCCATCCATAACATTTCTGGTTTTTAAACTCTGTTCAGCCATTCCCAGTGGACTTTCAAGATGGTGTTTGGCTTCCAGGTCTAAGGATAAAAGTCTTCATGGCGTTCTACTGGAAGAGAAGAGAATTCATTTGGCATAGAAGGCAACACAGGCATGGGGCTTGTACCCAGCCAGCTGCACAGGGGGGAGGAAGCAGCAGAATCTTTGACAAGCCCATGGCAGACCTCAGCTTTAAAATGCCCCTAGATTTCTTCTCTCAGATTCATACAGAGCTTTATCTGGCTCTGGAGAATTAAGTGTGTACCACAAATGTGCAAACCAAAAGCTGCAGGGGAAACAGGGACAGCAGCACTGTGCAATGTTAGCTCTGGAGTGGCTGCCTTAGTTCCCACAGACCCTACTTAGCAACGCCACAGGCAGGCAAAGCAAAAAAATGTTGGGTGAAGAACCCTAATGTTAAAATACATGTGAAAACTAATACATCTAATGGTCTGTGCTTTAGTTCTGTATGAAATAAAGGATTGAAAATGAGGAAGGCAAAACAGAATAAAGTTTTGGAGAAAGCCTTTGCAAGACAAAAAGATCTTTAGCATCAGTGAAAGTTTTGCAAGATGAGTGGTCCCTTTATTGATCCTTAGACGTCTAAGTTATATTCTGGTCCTGTTTTCTCAACTTCTGAGGTACTAATGCTGTAGTATTTTCACTTGAGACTTGGAATACTGATTTTCAGTCCAAGATTTTCTGCCATATCTGCCTACTCAAATGTTTTTACTGCAAGGAAGAAAGAGCAAGTTTAAGAAGAAGGAGCTTTAGATAAACTGAAAGAAGACAGATATGTTGGGCCTGAAGGAGTTGGCTGGACTCTTTCTTCCTTTATTTACCTGGCAAAGCAATGAATTATGCTTAAAGGTTATGATGCAAAATAAATAATCTGCGCTTTTTGGGGGGAAATACGAACAGTATCTTCTGGAGTTTCCTGCAGGTTCCTTCTGCCCACATTAAACTGAAGACAATGCTTTTCTTTGCAGTTCTCTAGGTCCCCAAGTCATATATCACCTCCTCTAACACGTGCAATAAAAGCATACTTAATATGCACATATGGGCTTATGCATGGAACTTATTATAAAATAAAGGTCTTTAACATTTAGAGGTATGTTGTAATCTTGTTAGGCTTATATAGCTCTTATTATTAATGGGAATAAAAAGCAGGTGTCTCTGTGAATACAAATAAATTTCTTCATAGTTGTTTTAAATAAGCCAGAGTTAGTCAAGGCAAAGACAATGCTGCCGGAATCCCATGTTCTCCAGTATCTTATACTGTCATGACACTGCTTTAAAAAAATACTTGAAAGAACATCTCCTCATATGTGCACACTGCAGGACATATGGTGCATTTCAGCTTTAAATTTGATTTTCCTTAATTTTGCAGGTTTAACTTATTCCCTTAATGGTAATTTAACAGGCTTTTTTTTTAATTGTTCAGTTTTGTTTTATTACAGTTGTCTTAAAGGGATATTAGAGACATAAAGGTTATCAGAGTGATAGAAGAAGGAGAAATTGCACAGGCATACACACAGACTTATGGAAGAGCATGCAATAGTTATTTCTGTCACACTGTAATATAACAACCTCCATGTCAGTGAGTGAAACATTGTGTTTTTTAAGTCGAAATGTATTATCTCAGCTAAAGTATATTAGACAGTCTGCTATGTTATGTTCTGCTCCATCTGGTCAGTCATTTAGGTTCAATAGCAAGTATCAATGGAATTGTTTCTTATTAAGTGTTTCAGTGCAGTGAAATCCTTGATTTGGTAAAACAGTCTGAAAAAGTAATTACTGTGCATATGCAGATTTCCCTGTTTTTGAAGTTTATGGCACTGAACCATACTGAAAGTAAGCAGAACTAGAATGGGGAAAATGAAAGAAGTGCAGATTTCTGTTGCTTGCACTCTGCTGTCCCTAGTTCACAGCAGCCCTGCCCATGCTCCTTTGTATGGGTCAGGGCTCTGGACCAGGACACAGTAGAGACAGAAATAAGAAACAGCAGCTGTTTGTAAAGTACACCTCTTCCCTAAATTTATGGTCACCCATGAGCATGCTTACCCTCCTTTTATCCATGCTAGCTTCTCCAGACTGCACTGCTATGGCAGGGGAACAAGCTCAGCTTTTGGACCATGCACTTCAGAGGGCATAACATTTAAAAATGAAAATGTCTGTCCCAGTAGTGTTATAGAGGACCACCAAGGCAGTCATCTTGGTTCATTATATAATCAGAAGAGGCAGTAGTTTCAAGCATCTAAATGAGGTACATAACTGATCCCATTGATGAAGAAGTCCACATACATACTTTGGTAGAGCAACCAGAGACTTTGCTGGGCAGACCAGGGAGCTATGAAGGACCCGGCTGGTTGCAGTGGTCGCTTTTTGCACCATGCCTTAGTGGATAGAGCTTTTGGGTAGGAGCGTTTCATTCTTAGATGTCTGTTTTCTGGAGCTGTGAACTTTACTTTCGTTTCTCAGGAGCTTAGATTAACTGGATCCGAGCCCTTGAGATTCATGAGGCCCAGAAAAGAGTCGGAAAAACCAGTTGACTAAGTGTGATAGTAAGAACGTGTTTCTGTTGGCAGGCAGATACATTAGTTTCAGCTTCCTGCTGCAGGAATTGTTTATTTATTTTGCATTAAACAGTTCCTGGGAATAGAGTGCTCTCCTGGGAACAGGGAGCCAAGATTTTGTGCCCAAAAACCAAGAAGAGTTCTGGTCCCTTTATCTCAAATGAGTGCTCAAACAAGTAAAGAAGAGGCATCAGGATAATTTCTGTTTCTGCATGTGTTTTGGTCTGATCTCGATCCTTTAGTCTGTGACCCAAGTAGTACCTTTTGCCTCTGTGGGGGCTCATGGAAGAGGTACATTTCATGCTATATCTGAATTGTAACACTATAAGCCACTTGTCTCTTCAGGCTACGAT